TTATGATGTCACAGGAAGATTTGATTTTTGCCCCTTATTTTCCAGTTGACATCCCCAAATGAAATAACGAATTCACTATAAATATGGGAAGCATATGGGAGTTTTAAGAACTGTGCATTGGGAAAAATTGAAGCAACTGTTTTATAGCTTCCTTTTATGGCACATATTCTTGAACCTCTGCCATTCCAAACTCTGTGCTTCACTTTTAGGGGTTTTCCACTTCCTGACTATTTTCACCTGTTCAATATTCTTCCCACAATGTACCATCCTTTCTGAGTAAACTGCACTATTCCTTGTTTCATGGATGTGCTATGGTTCATTTCTACTTCTGTGTCTTTTGTGTTTTTAAGAATGTTCTTTTTCTTCTCTTTCATTACATACATATTCTACATCTACTTTAAAACCTTTCTTTTATACACCTCACATATTTCTCTTTCTTTCTTTGAAATTCTGGATGCTCTTATAGACAGTAAGTAAAGTAAATACACACACATACACACAAACACACAAACACCTCTATCTTCCTATGATACTTTGTATTTTTTGCACTTCTTTCCCAATGTGATCATAAATTCCCTAGAAAAGGAACCATGTGTAATATTTTTTTCCCAATCCTTCATAGAGCTTAGTCTATAGTAATGCTTAATAAATACTGCTTTGTTGTTATTTCTTTCTTGGAGCTATACACGTTCCTCTAATTGCCCAAGAGTCAGAACTTTCAATTCCATAAATGTTTTCTGAATTTCACTCTATGATTAAACAATAAGAGGAATAAGCCATGATCCTTTTTCTCCATGTGTTTACAACCTAGGAAGGGCAAGGATAAGGGCTGGGTAGCCTTGGGGAGTAGGATTAACCCACCAGTGACTTGAGTAGAGTGTGGATTGAGAATGCTGTCACAGGAATGCAAGGACTCTGAAGTGTGAGTAACAGCAGGGGATCCTATGGGAACAGAGTTACTGGGCAGAAGCAGTAAAACTAAAATAGTTTCTTGGAACTTTTCTCAGCCTGTCTCTTGAGTCCATAAACTATGCTTGATGTAATATTGTGGAAAATTCTAGTACATTCATAAACTTAATTTAAATCAAAAGAATATACTATAGTAACTTAATATTTTGTCAGGTGTTCTCTAGTTTTCTCATTTAAGTTGAATGCAATCCCAATTGATAATTATCTCATAAATAAGAATAGATCAACATGGCTTCAAAAATAGTCTCAAGTTGTACCCAGTAAAGAAAATTATTCATCATTGTAGAAATAGTACTGGGCAAAAACCATCCTCTGTTCTCGATGGAGCTAAATTTTACTTGGGATGTTATGCAGCTCAAACTATTCATTTTGTTTTTCTAAGATGTAAACTAAAGTTTTTCCTGTTAGTACTGTACTCTTATGTAAAAATATCAAGTGATAGCTGATAAGATAAAATTGAGGAAATTACAGAAGGTGACAGCAATGGAGAATGGATTCAGCTTCCTGTCTTATGTCTTGAATGTTTGCAATTTTTGAGCATTCAAAGTTACCTGTGTTTTTAATTAAAATGTGTATTTTATCCCGTGTCAAAAAAAATAACCCCGAGGTAAATAAATCCATGAATTGTGATTAAATATTTTGCTTTGACTTATGTTATTTCTGAAAATAGATTTTCTTCCTAAATGATCCATGCTTTAAACATATTCTTATATCTTCAAATCTGAGTGCATGCAGACCAAATGGCCCATATACTTTTTTTGAATCAGCAACAAAAATTAAATTATATTTAGCATACTTTTGGAGTTCTATATTTTCTACATTTTATTGGCTTTTTATAGTGATTCCTGTAGAAAGCTCATGTTGCCTCTGGAATCCTTTCAGGAAAGAGGTGGGATTGGAAGTCAGGACTCAAGAATCTCTCACTGGGATTATTACCACCCACCTTTGTTACCAGGAGCAAGAGAACTGAGAGTAAATTGTTATGCAGCATTAGATAACTGGAACACATTCAGAAAAAGGCTGGACACACTGAATCAATGGGAGAAATTAAAGCAAAGTAATACAGTATGAGTTTTTGGATGTTTATACCACAAGCTGTTAAGTATTCCCTCTGGAGAATGGAGCTGTGTGTCTGCTGTGGGAAGGAGAATCTTTCCATTTTATATCCTGTAATTTGAAGGTTTTACCATGTGTGCATGTTACCTAATATTTTTTTAAAGTTAGTTTAAATTTTAAATACAATAAAACAGAATGACAACTAGAATTTTCTGAGTTCATGGGGACTTTGTTTTTCTCTCTTTTTATTTAGTATTGATTCTTATTTAGTTCTCAGTGAATCTGTAAATATTAGAATTATATATGGTGATATTTTAGACCCTTCATAAATTCACATAAGCACGACTCTGGGCCATTTGGTCTGCATCAGCTCAAATTTGGAGATAGGATATGTTTAGGCATAAATCATTTAGGAAGAAAATCTATTTTCAGAAATAACATAAATCAAAGCAAAATATTTAATCACAATTCATGGTTTTATTCACTTTAGAGTTCCATTTTTGGCACAGGATAAGTTATACATTTTAATTAAAAACACAAACCCATTAGGTTGTTGTGCTGTTATGATCATTATCATTACTACCCCAAGCCTAGTCCTCATTGACTTTATTGAAACTTGTTAAATATTTTCAGTGAGATCATTTAACAGAAGCATTTGGTTAAGACCCATCTGGAATTGCTTCCAATCCAAATTACTTTTGGGGAGAGCAACATATTTTGACCTAAGAAAACTAGATTTTCATAAAGATTATTTCTGAATTCAAGAATAATATCCAAAAACTCAAGGTTTCATTCCCTATTCTGGCTTTGCCTTAGAGTCTTGTATCCTGGAAGTGGATATAAATTTAGTGATTTACTCAAACCCTAATTTATAGATGAAGAAGTATGTGAAGAGGATCATTTGTCATATTACTTAAAAATAGTATTTCTCAAGTATCAGAATCATTTGGAGGGCTTATTAAACTTGCATTACTGATATGGTAAGTTTGGGATGGAGTTGGAGATTTTGCTTTGCTAACATGCAAAAATCAAGATGCTATTACTCCTTGCCTGTGAACCACATTTTGAGAACCACTGCTTTGAAATAATTCATTCTCACACCAAATTGGTAGACTTCTCTAATACATTCAGATATATTTTGTCCTTGATCATTACTTCACTGAACTCTTTATGCTTATCACTTTCCAACTTTCTCAAACAGGTACACATTCTCTTAACATTTTCCTAAGCTTGTTCTCACTTGCTTTTTTCCTTTTGAGTAACCAAGACTGTACTTACAACCACATACTTGGAACTCTTTATCTTGCATGCACCCACTTTCTGGCCTCAATCATGGACCTCTCTCATGCTCCCTGAGCTCACTCTCTTGTGGGCTTATCACCTTTGTATATCACAGGAGCAGTATGCTTTGATGTCATCAAGTCATTGCCTTATATCTATTTTGAAAGCTAGCTCACTACTATAAAGAATTTTAAAAGCAGATGAAAGGTGAAATAAATGTTGGTCAGGTAAGACAATCCCAATAGGGAAAAACAGAATACCATCAAAGTAAGTGGTTCCATTAAGTATTTACTTCAAGTCAGATACATACTAAAGATGGGATTTGAGTATGCAAAGATGAGAAAGGTTTATTCAAAAAGGCTGCAAGATAGCCTCAAATAATGGTGGTGAGTGTTAACTTTGGAGCAAGTGAGACTGAGTTTATGTTCATCTCCTTTAATGCTGTCCTGGACCAATATATATCTTTGCTAAGCTTGACTTTCTTTCATCTATGGATTGGAATAAAACATCTACTTCATATGTCTGTCCCAGAAATAATGGGGTAATACCTTATCTCATCTTGGGTTGTCATAACAAAATACCATAAACTGGGGGACTTCACACCAGAAGTTTATTGTCTCAGTGTTTTAGAAGCTGGAAAGTCCAGGGTCAAGTTCTGGCTGGTTTGTATTCTGGTGAGCCTTCTCTTACTGCCTTTCAGATAGCTACCTTCTTGATCACATGGACTTTCCCCAGGGAGAGCAAATTCTGTGGTGTTTTTCTCTTCTGAAGGCATTAGTTCTGCCAAGGGTACTCCATCCTCATGACCTCTTCTAACCCTAATTATCTCTCAAAGATCCCACTTCAAAATACCATCACACTGAAAGTTAGGGCTTCAACACATGAATTTAAAGGGGGAGGTACAAACATTCTGTTCATAAAATGTAGCATGTTAATCCTTAGACAGTTCCTGGAATTAGAGAATCAATCTGTTAGTGGTTGTTTTTCTTACTGATTTTTTCTTCAGTTTCTGCTACCAGTTGTTATCATATATATAGCACTGTTGTGAAGACCAGGGGGAAGAACACTGGGTAGTGTTAGCCAGCTTTTAAATTTGCACCATCTAGTACTATCCTTATCAGAGGCTTTGGGGATAAATTTAAAAAACACAAACATTCCCTTTTCTGGGTTCTAGTTCCCCAAACACTTCCTTGAGTTCAGTATTATGATTATAATCTAAATAGGAAACCCTGGAGTGTAGTTTCTCTAAGTGAATAGTGAAATTAATTTGAAATATTAGAATTTCATTAGGCATGTTTTGGTGTTTGATCAATTCAATTCAATGACCCTATAAATGTGATCTCAGAGTTTATAGCTGAAAACTGTATTTCTTTACTCCTAAAATTCTAATAATTTATTAAACTATTTAAATAATCTATATTCTCTGGTAAATTGGAAATATTGCCTTTGTTCATTTGGTAAAGTTAGGTTCGAAGATCTGCTTTATGTTATGAACTGGTTGGTCAACCCCAGTTGTTTGATGATGGGGAGAAAATCAATAAGAGACAAAGAAAGTAGAAAGGAAGCACATGTCCAAATTGAAGACTCCCAAATTGAAGACTATTTTATGGAAAGAAAAATTTACAACTGCTTTAAAAAGGTTGATTCATGCTTTCATGCACCACTGAGAGTGCCGTGTGTTTTAATTCCAACAGAAAACGAAACCCTTGATGACAGAATTCTCGGTTAAGTCTACCATTATTTCTCGCTATGCCTTCACTTCGGTTTCCTGCAGAATGCTGAACAGAGCATCTGAGGACCAGGAAATTGAGTTTCAGATGCAGATCCCAGCTGGAGCTTTCATCACCAACTTCACCATGTAGGTGACACACTGGGCAGAGACTCTGGATGAGGATTTCTATGTGGGGTGGCCAGGGTGACCTGGGATGAGGTGAGAACTTATAACCCAGCAGTTGGGTAAGAAGGTTGGCTCTCTGCCTTCCTCTTTTCTCCCTCCCTCTCTTTGCTTCTCTTTCCACTGCCTTCTTTCAATCAATCTCTCTCTTCCCCTTTACTTCTTTTCCTCTTTCTCTTCTCTCTACAACACTAGTGCCTGTGAGGGTCAGACACTTAGAAGGTGATTGGTATATGTCTATGAAATGACAATGTTGCTCTCCTCCAGAAGTTGCAGTGGGAGAAACAGTAAATAAGTGAATAAACCAATAAGTGAGATAACTTCAGAGAGTAGCAAGTGTTTTATAAAGATAGCAAGTAGGACTGAGAGGGGCTTGATTAGGTCAGAAACCAAGGAGGTAGCTCAGAAAGGTCAGTGTTTAAGTTGAGATGTGAATGATGATGATATGCTAGATAGAATATTCTTCTTTATTTTGAATTAAGAGATAAAGGTATGCCAAACAGGCATATGGGTTTTAATGGAGGTCTGGGCAAGATTGAATTTGGTGAATCTTTATGGAAGTTTATCTGAGCAGGTCTCTGATTCCTTCCTGGAGAAACAAAGAGGCACTGTAGTTGGGTCTTTCCATTGAGACCTGTTGAAAATGGCCTTAGAATGAAATGAGAGGTTTAATGGTAGTGCCCTGGTCTGGAATGAATTCCTTCTACATTTCCAAGAGGCAAATAAAAATATTTCCTAGGCCACGGCTATGAAATCCACGTTTGAATTTGTCTTCGAATTGTAAAGCCCTAACATAGCTGTCCCTTGTGTTTCAGGCTTATAGGAGACCATGTGTATCAGGGAGAAATTACAGAGAAAGAAAAGAAAAATGGTGATGTGGTCAAAGAGAAAAGGAATAAAACCACCACAGAAGATAATGGGTAAGTATTTTTTTTTTTTTAAGATTTATTTATTTATTTATACAAGCACTGAGTACAGGCAGAAGTGCAGGATGGTGAGAGAATTCACTAGAGCCAGAGCGGGGAGCAGAGCAGGCAGAAGGACTGAAGTACACTGCTGAGGGGAGCAGCGGGTGGCAGGAGAGGTCTGCGCGCCATGTGGGACCCTTCTCCGGTGGCCGGGGAGCAGCCAAGGATCGAACCAGAGCTGCAGAGGTTGCGGGCAGCTTCGCAACCCAGCGTTCAACCACTGCGCCACTGGGGAGGCCCAGTATTTTTTTAATTAAGAAATTAAAAATCCACTTCAGCAACATGTTAAATTTTCTGCCTCCTTTGCCTACCTGTTTGGTTCCTTTCCCTTCCTTTAACTGTTGATCTTTTTTAAAACTTTTATTATGTTAATAAATAATTAAATATATCTGGTTAACAATATAGTAGATAAGGGTTTACAATAAAAAGGAATTTTTTACTACTCCTATCATGTTTACGTCTTCAGACCTTACAACCTGGAAATATCCATTTCTAATATTCCTGTAATTAAGAATTTTTGGTAGTTACCTCCCTGATTTTAAATATTTTGATAGCCTTTTAAAAAAATTTCTTCATAAAAATAAGGCATTACATAGTGTTTCCCTGTTGTAATGAAAGAAAATTTAGCATATTTACAACACTCCCTCTGCATCCCAAATTTTTACATTATGATTTCTTTTTCCATCAGCTGAAGTGCTTACACCATCTTAGATGAGCCCTCCCATCTTTAATGATAACATTACCTCTCTCCTATATCTCATTCTACCTTTCCTTTTCCATTTTCAGTACCCATCCTTAATCACCTAACCATTTATTTCTGCATTATCAGAGTTAATATTTAAATTCTGATCTGTGACAATATTTGCGTACTTAAACATTGAAACATTGATAAATAACATTAACTTTTTAATGGTTCCAGAAACAATAAAGTCACCTAGTCTACTAAAATTCCATTTTCCTCTCTACCATTTTGAAGAAAAATCATCTTAGTATCTAGATAAAATGGTGTGAATGTGAAAACCTGACTTTGTTCATTAATAGAAGGGCCTAATTTTGAGAAAGCTTGTTCTCTAAAATTATAAACTGTTAGAAACTGCTGTTTGAAATCCTACTGGCTTTCAGTAGGATTCGAATGGAACATCCCACTTTTGTCAGGAAGATGTGAGCTGTGGGTTCACCTTGATGTAGAAAAGCAGCCAAAGCCCACAGCTTCAGATAAGGGGTTGTCAAGACCAGAAGTTCATATTTATCTTAATTTTGTGGTTTCTAAGGACACAGAGCCATGAGTTTGCTTCTCACACTAGGCAGAGCTGCCTCATGATGCCTCTGGAATGCAGACTCCCCAGGTTACTAAAATCTAACATTGTTGGTCTGTAAGCATGCTCAAGTGATCTTTATCACGTGGACGTTATCAGGATTATATTTTCTTATACTTCATGAATTGTCCTGAATCCTGTCACAATCTTGTTTAGTTAGATCATAATATGTAATATCTGTTTTCCTGGAGTTTTGCTTTTTTTAAAAGATTTATTTATTTATGTATACAAGAGCTGGGGTACAGACCAGAGGTGTGGGGGGGTGAGAGGATTCACCAGAGACAGAGTAGGGAACAGAAGAGGCAGACTGACCGAAGTACAGTGCTGAGGGGAGCAGCAGGCGAATCAGGAGAGGTCTGCTGCATCATGTGGGTAGCTCCCTGGCCAGCCAGGGGATCGAACTCATGCTGCAGAGGCTGCGGACAGCATCATAGGTTGCGTCTTAACCCCTTGCGCCACCAGGGAGGTCTGAGTTTTGCTTTTTTCTATGAGATAAAACTCACCTTTGTCACTATTGAGATCTAGCGAAACACATCACTGATTTGAAATGGTGACAATGAACAGTTATAACCAAGTTTCTACAATACTGTCATCATGGCATTACCAAGAACATGAGGAAAGCATAACTGATCAATTTATACATTCTGATTTCAAAGCTGTTCATCATGGAAGAAAGTATGTCTCCAGATCCATGGAATCCAACCATTGCTTTACAGCCTTTTTTCCTCATTCTCTTCTGGGTTGTGTTCATTATTTCTAGTATTTTGTATCTTCATCTTTTTTCAGCCTTCACTTTGCTGGAGTATATTCTGAAGTAGCTTCCTTAGAATGGATATTTGAGAGGTAAACTTTATGAGGCCTTCATTAATATTTTAATTTGTATGAAATTTTAGATTCAGAATAATTTGCCATCCTAACTTTGAGGACATTTCTCCAATATCTCATAACATCTAGTTTTAGTTTTATTGTTGATGCATCAAATGTGGTCTAATAATACTGCTTTTATGCCCTTTCTCTACCTGATGTTCTAAAATTTAAAAATATGGTTATAAGGTGTACCCTACCATTCCCGCTCTGTTCTCTGTCCCACGGGGTGGGGGGAGGCGAAAAACAGCCCCCCAAGGACAATAGGAGAGATCTCTGGCGCCACCTAGCGACCAGGAAAAAAAAGTCACTAACACCCTATAAAACAGGACATTTCTTAAGACTGCTTGAAAAGGGCAGAAGGTTTCTGGAGGACCCAGTGGCCAGCCGGGAAGTTATTCCACGCCAGGCCCCTTCCGACCAGCAGTCTGAGCCCACAGAGGGAGCAGGCACCCACGTCCGGGGCAGACCGGGTGCGCAGAAGAGTGTGCCTGAAACCGGAGGCGCAGGGACTGCATCCCGCTTCGCCATTTGAGAACAGGGACATTTCTTCAGTAAAAACTGCCTAAAACCAGCAGAAAGCTCCCCCAGAAGACAGAGATGGCTCCTGGAAGAGCCAGAGGGGAGCGGAGAAGTTCACCCAAGATGTCAGTCAGTCCGAGCAACACAGTGTCCCAACGCATACGACAAATTAGAAAACAGACAGTAGGGAGTAGAAGAACCACACGCAACCTAAAAACTCCTCAGGAAAGAAGCACACCACAAAAAGAAAACCACTCCCCAGATTGCAACGACAGCAACTTGGAAGAACTTCTGAGCCTTCCAGAAAGAGAATTTAAAATTGCCATGATTAAAAAAGTGATAGATCAGAAGAAGGAAATTGAGTCCCTAAAGAGGGAAGTAAGAGAAATGCAGGAGATCAAAGAATTAATGGAGGAACTAAAGAACTCTGGGAAAAGCAATGAAAGCAGAATAGATGAAATGGAAGAACGAATAAGTAATCTTGAAGACACAGAAATAAAAAGAACCAAAACAGAAAAGGAAAGAGAAGTACGAAGGAAAAAGAATGAAGAAAGACTTCGGGAACTATCTGACTCCATGAGGAAAGGAAATATAAGAGTTATAGGAATTCCAGAAGGAGAGGAGAGAGATGTAGGAACAGAGAAAATATTCATGGATATAATTGAAGAGAACTTCCCAAATGAGAAGAAGGAGCTGAAAATTGATATACAAGAAGCAAGAAGAACACCAAACTTCCACGACGAAAGGAAAAACACAGCAAGACACATAATGGTAAAGCTCCCAAGAATCCAGGACAAGGAAAAAATAATGAAGCTGACAAGAGGGAAGAAACAGATAACATTCAAAGGAAAACCAATCAGGCTGACATCAGACTTCTCTGAAGAAACATTACGGGCAAGGAGAGAGTGGAGGGACATAGTCAACAGACTCCAAGAAAACAGATGCCAACCAAGAATACTCTATCCCGCAAAGCTCTCTTTCCTCCATGAAGAAAGAATATGGACCTTCCCAGACAAAGAGAAACTCCGGAATTTCATTGCGACTAAACCCCCACTCCAAAAAATACTACAAGGAATCCTAAAGCCAGAACCTCAGAGGGACGAATAACAACGAAAGAAGACCAGAAAAAAAAAAAAAGTTATTAAAAGAATAAATAAATAAAATCAAAGGAAAGACAAACATAATGGCAAATACAGATGCTAACATATCAATATTAACTCTAAATGTAAATGGACTAAACTCTTCAATAAAAAGACACAGAGTTGCAGCCTGGATTAAGAAACAAAACCCAACCTTTTGCTGTCTCCAGGAAACACATTTAGCTACAAAAGATAAAAATAGGCTCAAAATCAAAGGATGGAAAACAATCCTACAAGCAAATGGGCCAAAAAAGAAAGCAGGAACAGCTATACTTATATCAGATAAAACAGACTTCAAACTCAAAAAAATAAAAAGAGACCCCAATGGTCACTACATTATGATTAAGGGGACAATACTTCAAGAAGAAATAACACTCATTAACATATACTCACCAAACGAAAGAGCACCAAAATATATCAGACAACTGTTGTCCTCTCTGAAAACAGACATCAGAGAAAACACATATGTAGTGGGAGACTTCAACACACCACTATCAACAATGGATAGATCAACAAGACAAAAAATAAGTAAAGAAACTAAAGCTCTAAATAAAGACCTAGAGCATTTGGGCTTAACAGACATCTATAGAACACTAAACCCAACAAAAACGGAGTACACATTTTTCTCAAGCGCACACGGATCATTCTCCAGGATCGATCACATACTGGGGCACAAGACAAACATCAACAGATACACCAAGATTGAAATCATACCAACCATCTTTTCTGACCACGAAGGCATCAAACTAGAAATAAATCATAAAAAGAAGGCAAGGAACTATCCTACCTCATGGAGATTAAAAGCCACATTACTGGAAGACCACTGGACTAACGAGGAGATCAAAGAAGAAATTAAAAATTCTTTGAATTGAATGACAAGGAGGACACCAATATCCTAAATGTATGGGATGCAGCAAAAGCAGTAATAAGAGGAAAATATATAGCAATAGAAGCTCACATCAAAAAACAAGAAAGAACTCAAAGAAACAACCTAATCTCGAAGCTCAAAGATCTAGAAAAAGAACAACAAAATAACCCCAGAACCAGTAGAAGAAAAGAAATAATAAAAACCAAAGCAGAAATAAATGAAATTGAAACTAAAAAAACAATCCAAAAGATCAATGAAACCAAGAGCTGGTTCTTTGAAAAAATAAATAAAATAGACAAACCCCTAGCCAGGCTCACAAAGGAAAAAAGGGAGAAAGCACAAATACACAGAATCATAAATGAAAGAGGAGAAATCACAACGGACACAGCAGAAATCAAAAGAATAATCAGTAACTACTATGAACAGTTATATGGAAACAAGTTCAACAATATAGAGGAGATGGACAAATTCCTACAACTCTACAATCACCCAAAGCTAGATAAAGAAGAAATAGAACACCTAAACAGACCAATTACAAGCAGCGAAATTGAAATGGTAATTAAAAACCTCCCCAAAAACAAAAGCCCAGGACCTGATGGATTTACAAATGAATTCTACCAAACATTCAGAGACGAATTAGTGCCTATCCTTCACAAACTCTTCCAAAAAATTGAGAAGGAAGGGACAATACCAAACACGTTCTATGAAGCCAATATTACACTAATACCAAAACCGAATAAGGACAACACAAAAAAGGAAAACTATAGGCCAATCTCCCTAATGAACACTGATGCAAAAATCCTCAATAAAATTTTAGCTATCAGAATCCAACAATGTATCCATAAGATAATTCACCACGACCAAGTTGGATTCATTCCAGGGGCACAAGGATGGTTTAACATCCGAAAATCAATCAACGTTATCCAACACATCAACAAAAAGAAATATAAAAACCATATGATAATATCAATAGATGCTGAGAAAGCTTTCGACAAAGTGCAACACCCATTCATGATAAAAGCCCTTGAAATTCTTGGGATACAAGGAACATACCTCAACATCATAAAGGCCATCTATGACAAGCCAACAGCCAGTATCATTCTCAATGGTGAAAAGCTGAAAGCAATTCCATTAAGATCTGGAACAAGACAAGGATGTCCACTCTCACCACTGCTTTTCAATATAATACTGGAAGTCCTAGCCAGAGCAATAAGACAAGAGAAAGACATCCAAGGAATCCAAATAGGAAAAGAAGAAGTCAAACTATCACTATTTGCAGATGATATGATAATATACATAGAGAACCCCAAAATCTCCACAGAAAAACTAATTCAACTCATCAATCAATTCAGTAAAGTGGCAGGATACAAAATCAACACGCAAAAGTCAGTAGCCTTCCTATACACAAACAATAAATCTGAAGAAGAAGAAATCAAAAAAACCACCCCTTTTATTATCGAAACAAAAAAAATCAAATATTTGGGAATAAATCTAACAAAAGAGGTAAAGGACCTATACAAAGAAAACTATAAAACACTGTTAAAAGAAATAGAAGAAGACACAAAGAAATGGAAAGACATCCCCTGCTCATGGATTGGAAGAATAAACATTATTAAAATGGCCATCCTACCAAAAGCAATATACAGATTCAATGCTATTCCAATCAAAATCTCTATGGCATTCTTCAAAGAAATAGAACAATTATTGATGAAATTCATATGGAATCACCAAAAACCCGAATAGCCAAAGCTCTACTGAAAAAAAGAGAAGGGAATGGAGGCATCACACTCCCAGACTTCAAACTCTACTACAAAGCCATAATCATCAAAACTGCATGGTATTGGAACAAGAACAGACATACAGACCAATGGAATCGAATAGAAAATCCAGAAATAAACCCACAGATTTATGGTCAACTAATCTTTGACAAAGGAGCAAAGACTATGCATTGGAGCAAAGAAAGTTTGTTCAATAAATGGTGCTGGGAAAACTGGGTCGCTACATGCAAAAGAATGAAGCTTGACCACTACCTCACACCATACACAAAAATCAACTCAAAATGGATTAAAGGACTAGACATAAGACCTGAAACCATAAAATACATAGAAGGAAATATAGGCGAAACACTACGGGATTTGCACATCAAAGACATCTTTACAGACACATCACCCAAAGCAGTGATAGTGAAGAGAAAGATAAACAGCTGGGACTACATCAAATTAAAGAGCTTCTGCACAGCAAAAGAGACAATAACAAAAACAAAGAGAAACCCCACCAACTGGGAGAACATTTTTGCACCCAACACTAATGATAAAGGACTGATCACAAAAATCTGCAAAGAGCTGATGAGACTCAGCAACAAGAAAGAAAATAATCCAGTCAAAAAATGGGCAGAAGAGCTAAAAAGAAACTTCTCTGAAGAGGAAATGCAAATGGCCAACAGACATATGAAAAAATGTTCAACATCACTTGCAATCAGGGAAATGCAAATCAAAACTACCATGAGATACCATCTCACACCAGTGAGAATGGCACATATTAAAAAAACTAGCAACAACAAATGTTGGCGAGGATGTGGAGAAAAAGGAACTCTTCTGCACTGTTGGTGGGAGTGCAAACTGGTCCAACCACTATGGAGAGCTGTGTGGAGATTTCTGGACCTACTAAACATAGAGCTTCCATATGATCCAGCAATTCCACTCCTAGGTATTTACCCAAAGGACACAGAAACATCAATTCCAAAGAGCACCTGCACTCCTATGTTTATAGCAGCACTGTTTACAATAGCTAAGCTTTGGAAACAACCCAAATGCCCAAAAGTAGATGACTGGATCAAGAAGATGTGGTACATATATACCATGGAATATTACTCAGCATTCAAAAAAGATAAACACATGCAATTTGCAGCAACATGGATGGCGCTGGAAGTGATCATGCTCAGCGAAATAAGCCAAAAAGAAAAAGAAAAATACCGGATGGTCTCACTCATAGCAGGAATCTAGAAAACTTAAATAAGGGACCAGGAAAATGAATATAAGAAAGTGAAAATCAAAATCAACAAAAAACTATGAACCAGAGACACTTTTTGGGGGTGGGGGGGCGGGAGGGGAAGGATTGGGGTCAGAATGGGGCGTTTGCTATTGTATGGGGGAATATAAAAATAAAATTTAATATTTAAAAAAAAAAATAAAATAAAAATATGGTTATAGGTACACGTAGTCATATTCCATTTATTCTGTCCGGCTCTTAATGAATTGTTCTCTCTCAATATTTGTGTCTCTTTTCTCAGCTCTGGGAAAATAGAGTATAGGAACCTGTCTTCTTCATCATTCATTCACCTTGATGTTCACCTCCCTGGGTTTGGTTCCTATTCTCACTTCTATCTGGTATTGAATTGTGAACCAGAGCCTGCGGTCTCTAAAATTCCACAGACAGTGTGGTTCTCTCCTTTGCTGTACCCATTCCTGTATATTATGAGCTGTGGAGTCCTTGCTCTATTGAATCCCCTAAGTTCTCCAGAAACTTGTGAATTATCCTACCCACTGAGGGTTGCTGCTGCCACGCTTATTCCTTTGGTGTAATCTTTTACTACACTTTTATGGCCAGTCTTTCAACTGGAATCAGAGAACTCTCACCCCGGTGCTGAAAGCATTTGGAATGGTTTGTATTTTAAACTGCTTTGCACTCTGTTATTCCTTTCCCCACCCCAAACTTAATGAAGGTATAAAACCTAGTATATTAGCAATCTTAAAGTTGTGCATAATCTTAAATCCATTCGGCCAGCCCTACAAAGAGGAGAACACAATTCACATCTCAACCCCAAGGCTGTCTTTTCTAGCAGTTCTCCTATTTCAGTGTCCCCTTCCTTTGCACCTTGGGTCCAGCTCAGGGAGCGGTCTGAGAGTTCAGTGTTCTTTGAATTCTCCACTCTTCAGTATTCTCATACCATTGGCAACCTCCCTCTAGCCTTCTTCAACCATCACTAACTTTTATTTTTTCTTTCAAAGGACACTCACTGCCATGCTTACCAGTCTTACTGGGAGTGTTTGAAGGGTGCCCAGAGGGGACCTGAAGGCACCTGGCTTCCTCTGCTCTCTCTTCTCTTCCTCACAGGCAGAAGGGCACTGAAATGTTCAGAGCTTCTGTGGTGATTCCCAGCAAGGACAAGGCCGCCTTCCTCCTCAGTTATGAAGAGCTCTTGCAGAGGCGGCTGGGGAAGTATGAGCATGTCATCAGCGTGCGGCCCCAGCAGCTGGTGGGGAGGTTGACGGTGGAAGTGAATATTCTGGAGCAGTCGGGCATCACGTCACTGGAGGTGCCAGGGCTACAGAACAGCAAACAGAAGGGCAGTGGGCGAGGGGAAGGTAAGTACTGTTTGTTGGGAAGCCTCAGATCTCGGATAACTGAGATGTTAGCATTAGAGGAATCTATAAAACTGATGGCTGCCCTTCAATAAGGCTCTGAGTGTGTTTGCAGGAATCTTAAAGAGTAACATTACAAAGACTGTGCCTTGTTTTATTTTTTTTGGTAAAGTCAGTTCTGTCAGGAAATTATACAATGTTTGAGTCATTTGACACAATAACCTCACTTCTGGGACTCTATCCTAGACAAAACAGTCTAAACTATTAGGAATGTTATATGTATGGACCTGTTGGATAATATTTGTATCAGAAAAAGCATTCTGCCATCCTAAATATTAAGCCAATGGACATGATTAGTAAAATGAGTTCATAAAAACAATTTAGCGTGTGACAGGGGGAAAAAAGACACCGTTTTACATACACTATAATGTTAAATAAGTTCATTTTGTTACATATGAGACTGATAAAGATTAGAAAGTTACATAAAAATAATTTGTACTGGAGTTAGAGATTACAGGGTCATTTCTAAAAACCTGTTTTGAAACGAACATAAACATCTAAACAATGTGCTATATTCTTTCTCAAATTCAATAATGAAAAATACAGGCTAAAATCAATTTTAGACAGAATTTTTGACTCATTGGTAGAACCATTCAGTTGTTTAATCAAATGCTAACTTTAAAAATAGCATTGTATTTATTGAAATCATACTGAAAAAATTCAATGTAACCTAATTTAAATCACTATATCATCTCAATTAGTAGTTTATAATGAATATTTATTTGTGTTGGAAAACAGGACAATGTGTAAAAAAAAATTCACCAGGAGTAGAATGACAAGATTGCAGATAATTGTGCCATTGAGGTCAGGGAAATGCTAAGTGATGCAGTAAGTGAAAATGCAGACTCTGGTTTCAACCCCATGACTGCAAAGAGGGTCCAGGGTGGCCCAGAAAGGCTTCTTGCTCAAGACTCCTTAGGAATGAGATTGGAAGGAGAGGTAGAGAAATGACTTGACAGTAAAATACAAAGGTTTTGGTATCCATTATAAAGCAATAATCATGGTGGCCCAAAGCTGGTCATGGAAGCGTAAACAGAATGGAAAATACACACATGTGTCCCCTCCCCTTCCCCCCACAGCTGAGTGAATGTCTCTCCCCTGGAAGTAGTTTACTCTCAAAAACTAGAGTGTATTCTGGTTCTGTGGTAGACTCTGGTTTCTTGTTGTGGGTTGTGAATAAGCACAAGAATTTGGTGTTCAGTTCCATTCTCATTGAAAAATGAAAAATATTGTGGAGGTATCTGATATTCAGAAGTGGTGTGAGATATACAGTATTCTTGTGTCAGAGAGGTGGCCTTGTGTATTGTTAATGAATTTTAGTTCAATTAACTATCGCCCCGAAAAAATGACCTAAGCTCTGTCAGGTGGGGATAATAACTTTCTCATTATGTCATTGGGGAGCACTAGTGTATGTGAAGTGTCTGGCCCAGAATAAGGACTTAATAATGAAATATTATTATCTCATCACCTAATAGTTACTTTTTTCTTTGCAAATATTGTCTTCCATATTAGATCACAAGTGATTTTGAAGGCAGTTCTATGCCTCATACCTTTATCTTGTGGATCTAGATACTGAGATTTGGATGAGTGACACCTCAAATGTCATAGAGATAGTGTTAGAGCTCTGTGTACAGCAGGGATGTTACAGCTCCTATATTATAGCAGATGCTTATTCACACACAGTCTGGGGAATGTACATTCAAGGAGCACTAGAGTTACTTACCCAAGGAACTAGGTGGAGTAGCTTATATAGGCAAAAGGGATGGGGCTAGTCCTCACTCAGGTCTGCTTTATGCAACAGTAGTTATGATTGGTGGAAAGTTTGCCAAGTGGTGATTGGAATTTCCATCCTGGGTATGGCTTGTCACCATGGTTTCATTTTCTCCCATGTGGGGCATATGCCACAACTTGCCTACATGCCTGACTGTGTCTGGGACTTGACCCCTAACAACTTCCCAGCTCTGGTTGTTACACACAGTTGGGATGGTTCCATATTCATTTTTCTTCTATTTATCAGTCTCTTTACAGTACTTAACATGACACCTTTTAAAGGGCTGATAGCTAATTGTCTGCCAATTAGAAAAGTGTAAAACTACACAACTAAACTAGTTACAAAGAATGCCATTAAATTTTATTTTTTTCTAGTCATAATTACAGGGCAATTTTCCTTTGTACAATGATGTGAAGGAAGCATTGTTTTCAGGAGGAGGAAGATTCGATGAGAGTGGGTAGTATCCCCAAGAGGGCTGCCGAAGTGCAGTGTGTATGGAGGAGCTGGGTGGGAGATTCTGAGGGTCATGATCTACAGTAATGAAATGAGTGTGTATTTTGCCTAATTTTCCGAACTGTGGCTCTTCAGAGATACATATGAGCTGTGGTGTGTGTTATGGTTGGTGGTGACATGAATTATGATTATTAAGGAAAAAGTCATTTACTGCTTATTTTCAGGGTCTGTGAGAGACTCAGGAATTTTCTAATCCATTGATCTCTTGGGATATGTTTTTTCTCTCTCCTTTTTCTCCTTTTTTTTTTTTAAAGGAAAACTGTTTTTTCAGCTCTTTGTATCAGAGCAAATATTTGTCTCTCAGAGCATGCAGATTTCATAAGCATCATAAGCATTTACCAGATCCAGGTGCAGTGGACCAGTTCCCTTTTTGCTTCTCAACCGGTCTGTGGAACTCAACTGTGAGTGCTCCTGCAAAATGGCAGCCTCAGCAGTGAGAGGTACAGGATGCTGTGTTTTTTTCTGGACACCATTGTGTGTTTCCAAAAAAATCCAGGCTAGAGATTAAATTAGAACTGGGCTTGCACCAGGGTCATGAACTGTAACTATGAATATGGACCAGAGCCAGAAGATTCCTTTAATAGATCTGGCTGTGATTAAGAAATCATCACTTGTGTAACTTCTGTAATTTCTCAGAAGCAAATCTCTAATCACTCAGCCATTTTCTTGTTTAAGGATGCAATTCTAGATGGGGATTACCATGAGCTAGATATTAGACTCAGCACTTGCACATATTATTATCTTAGTCTATCTTTAAACAACCCTCTTGGGATATATTTTTTTATCCACATTTTATTTGTGGAATAATTAAGGTGCACAGCATTTAAGTAACAAGGACAAGGCCCCATGTTTGGTTGTTGATAGAAGCAGAATTTGTGTGAGTTATCACTCCAAGTTCATGCCCTTACCCACTGCCTCCTTGTTAAATAGAAGATATAAAATAAATTATAATAAATAATAAGATATAAAATAAATTATAATAAAACATTCAGGGTGTGAGTCTGAATACTAAGTCCCTCAATTGCAAAGCCAACTTCTGTTCATCAATATAAATACAAAACAGAAAGGGTAAATGAAATCTAACCCACTTTTGCCTCAGTTTACTTGTCTGTATCAGAACTGGATCCACAGCTATTGAATTGTAAAATAATGGGCTCCATCTCAATTTCAAAGCTAATTCTGAGAGATATAATTTGGCAGACAAGACTTTATACTTTCTGGGTTATTAAAATAGTGAACTCATGTACATAGTTCAAAAATCTCAAAGATTCTAAGCTGATATACAATGAAAGACAAGATTCCCTCTCACCCCATCTCCCTGACCCCTCCCTCCAGGTCCTCTACTCTAAAGTATCAGTGAGAGAGAATATTTGAAATTCAGACTTTCCTAGAACATCCCTGTTTTGTGGTCTTCCAAAGACTCACACCAAGATAGATATTCCATCTGTGTTATTGGGTCAAGGCTGATTATTTCATGTTTTATGCTAAAGCCTCAATAAACTTCCCATTGGCCCATGGCAACTAAATTTCCATGCTTTCCACAATTTCAATTTTTTTCTTGTTTGGCAGAAAATTTTCATTCATGATGAATCCCTCATGACTAGGAGTAAAATAAAATGAACTAAACAAAGTACGACTTAAGGTATCTTACCTTATTCCCCTTTGGTTTGTATCAGTGGATCTCAAATTTGGTTAGACCCTATAGGAACCTGGGGAGATTGACAAAAAGAATTACAGAAAACTGAATCTGACCTTATATACCTGAATTAAAACTTACAACAACAGGTTACATCTAGGTAACTGTGTTATGAAGGTGATAATCCATGAATTTATGTGAGAAATAAAAAAATAAGTATTTCTTAAATGTTTATCAAAATTCTTAATTTTTTTTCTACCCCTAATCATGGCTTATCCTTCAGAGTCTTTGCCTTAAAATAAAATCATTGAGCTTTAGTTAACATGGCATAAAATGTACTCATTTTAAATGTATGATTCAGTGGTTTATAGCACATTTGCAGAGTTGCACAACCATCATCACAATCCAATTTTAGAACATGTCTATCATCCCAGAAGATTCCTGACTCCATGGTGGCCACTCCTTGTTCCCACCCAAGCCTTAGGCAGCCACAAACCCACTTTCTGTTTCTGTAGATTTCAGACAGCTGTCACTTGAAATGCATCCCAGATAATTCTGAGGCTTGGTAAAAATTCGGGAATCCTTACTATGTGCTTTCCATCAGAATTGAGGGGTGTCAACTCTGCAGGATCTTGACCTACAGGAGCAGCTGTTTAATTAAACATGCTTATTCTTTTAGTCATGGGGTCCTGAGAATATTCTGGCTTTTGATCCTTGTTAAAATGTATATTGTTCCACTTTCCACTAACACTTTTTCTATTGGATTTAGGCCAACATAGAGTTACTCACAGTTGGTAGAAAATAACCTCTTCCCATAGCCAACATCTGTTTATAAACATAGAGATTGGAAATGGAAAAGTACCAAGAGGCTATCCTAGTGGTCTTTCTAATACAGTCTCAAGCTCATTAATCTTGGTGGTCCATCTCTTCTTGGAAAATAGAGACATGATCACACAGTACTTTTGGAATCAAAAAGCACCTCTGTTTTACTTGATTCCATGGCCTTGTGGGAGTAACCCCCTA